TCATATTAACAATTTTTATCATGGTTTTAGCTTAAATGGTGTTCCGTATTCTTCCTCCGTTTCACGCAGCTCGTTTGGTAGATACGCTGCGGCGCGACCGCCTTGTTCCATGGCCAATGTAAGTACAACTCCACAGAGCACCGAAGATCACCGACAAATAAAATGCACAAACACAAAGTACCGATTATAGCTTAAGTTTACATTGTTTAAATTTATCATTTAAGTCTTAAACGATAGAAATATAGATTAGAATTATGATTATATTAGTTACACGTTATATATCTACATATATAAATTAAATACATATTTTATGTTAATTTATACAACACAGTATTGTAAATCTTGCAATGTTATCTAATATCATGTAATATTTTTATACTTTAAACTTCTTAATTATTCATTGCTTGACGATAAGGTTCTAACACTCGCACAATAACACTATTCATAGCGATAATAGTATTTCTAATACCGTGACTAAGAACGCATTAACGCTTTCTTTTAGATAATCCATAATACTGCTGTGCTTGGTCCATCTGCCGAGCGTACTGGGTGAGTAAAATCGAAAGATAATCATCCAGATTGTTCGATCTGGCAAGAACTGCTTACAATATTAGTTAGTCGACAATTTGTTTGTACCTATGGAGAGTGCAAAAGCCCTCTTCGACATCTGAAGCTTTAGTTAATTCTTCAATGGCCAGATAAATTCTAGATGAATAATAATACTATTTTTAATTATATCAATGACTTAAACGTGCAATAACTGATAGCGCTGTACTAGATAATATTATTCATTAAGATTTTAAGATATTCATGGTTGGTCGTTAAAGAGTTAAGGAAAACATACAGCAATAACACAGCAATACGCGATATAAACAGCTTTCACTATTTTTACACTGAATGTGTATACGCTACCTCTTGCCAGCGCACATTTGTACGTGCATTATAATATTATACATATTTCCTGAACTTTTCTCTTGCTTCATTTCATCAATGTTAGCCCAAGGTTTTGGGTTAAATAAAATCGCTCCGATAGACAACAAAAATCTGATTATGTTGCTTCCATTAGTTAAAAAATTTCAATATTTATTTAAGTATATAGTTAGGCATAGAAAAATGAACTTGCGTCTTTCAATATCACAAATTCTCTATGTATTGTATACAAATAATTGTGTGATGATGATAATTAATTTAATTGGCTAATATACAATAAATGGATATTACTAATTAAACATCCTTTATAGTGTTATAAAAATATTGTAAAAATTGAAATGTTGAAAAATCCTATAAAGGATCTTTAATATTTAACTAAAAAAAAAAAAAAAATGATTTGAGATACAAGTATCGTTTCATTATTTTATTTATAACGCACAGATATGTTTAATTTATTGAACACTTATTAGTCTAATTTGCGCATGAATGTATGTATGTATGTATGTATGTATGTATGTATGTATGTTATATTTATTTATTGTGATATGTATCGATTATTTTCAACTGGCCACTTGCACCTGTGCATATGATTAAAATATGTTCACCGGATGTGCTGCATGGACTTTATATTTATTTCCTTTTCGTTGACAGATATTAAGCGATTTCACTTCCATGAAAACACCAGTTCAATATCCCCAAAATCCTCTGCACAATGGCAACACGTTCCTTTTACTCTTGTTTTCAGAGTAAGTAATTTGTGTCACTTGTGAAAGTTCTGATCCATGCATGATTCACTTTTTTAACAAAAATATTACATCATTCATTATCTTATTATATATTATATAGGCTTAAACTGATAATTTATTTTTTTAAAAAATATAAAAATATGTTATTTTATTCTGAAATATTTTATATTTTAAAAAATTAATATCATAATATGTTTTGCTTAGTACTATTCTTTATTTTAAAAAAAATCTATATATTTTTTTTACATTTATTAATGTAAGTATAATATTTTAATAACATAAAATTGCACGCAACAAGCAATTATAATCAGGGAATGCATGTTATTACCAAACATATTTCCACGATATTTTCATGGGAAGTTACTTTTTCAGTGAAAAACCGAGCACACCGACTGCAACACAATTGAAACCGGAACGACCACGTTCGTTGAGTCTTTATTCGGAAGAAGAACAGAAGCAACGTACAAGTGAATTGTCAACAGTAGCAACACCTGCTTTACCGGACTATCAACCAACTCCTTTAACTACCATTTTACGAGAAACAGAGAAAACTGAAAATAATATGAAACCATCACCATCATGTAGTCAAGAAGTAGCTGGTTCCAATCAACACAATAGATTAGATCTAAAATTCTATCATTCTCCTCTATGGTAAAAGAAAGCATTGGGACAATATTAGAATTATATCATTTGCATGTGCAAAAAAATTAAGAATGCTTTATCTCTCAGAACAATCAATGGAAAGATAACTAATAATAAGCTTAATGGAAAATGAACAACTGTGGTACTTGAGAAGTCTACACAAATAGTAAAGTGCAGAGAAATGTGTACAATAACAATTGGAAAAGGCAACTTTTTTATTTTTTGTGAGAATAATTAGCAAATTATTATTGATTATTTTATCAATATTTTATCATTTACATATATATATTATATGTATATCTCGTAAAATTGCACTTTAAGCAAAAGATATAGAAACAATACTTAGATTATTATTAAAAATGACTAATAATTAAAACTTGAAAAGAAATTGTATAAGTCATATTTTCGTAATAAAATCTTAAATTTACGTCGATGATTTTTTCCAGCACTTTCTTAAGCTTTAATTAGGCTTAATGTTACATTGGAAAAAGTACTCAATCTGAAATTAAACAGCTTCAGTTGATTGAAACGATGATGATATTGAAATTGTTAGTAAATTATTATGACGAAACAGATTAAAATCGTAGTACACGATTGATGTTCATCGTGTAGAATGCATATATATACATATATTATACATATAAACTGGCTTGTAATTTTATACATAGATAAAAATGATGCAAGACATTTTTCATATATCACAAATATAGCGATACGTAATTTGTATGATAAACTTATCATTCTATTTTTTTTTTTTTTTTACATCACATAGTTTTTTTACACTAATCTTAGAGAAATTTATTGTTACTTACTTCTTAAACTTGTCAAGTTCAATATTTTATTGGAACAAAAAGAAATTTTAGTACAAAATATATTTATTGATTATAAAAATTTTGTATTTTCTATTATTAAATTCGTAGAAATCTATAAAATTATGGTGACAAAGTGAAACCTGAATATAAAGCGAAATCGTCGTTGTCACTAAAAATATATCACATGATAAGAGAATAAAAGTATATAAAATATAAAATATCGTGATTTTATTTTAATAATTGTATTATTTGGTATATTGCATTATTTGATATAAACATCTTCCATAAACTTCTAACATATAATGAAATAACTCTTTCACTTCATAAAAATTGCATTCAATTGAATTAAATATCATATTCTGCACCATCTAGTTTCTCATCAGTTATCCAATATACTAAATTGGAACAAGTTTCAGGTTCTAAATATAAAAAGCTCATAAGCATTCCTTGCATATAACCTACAAGTAGTCCTGCAATAATATCAAGAATATAATGCCTTCTCATTAAAAGTCTAGACATAACTAAAACAAAAACCCATATTGTTATCAGTGAAAGACAAATGTCAGGTACAGGCCACAAATATTTAAAAAAATAAAGAACAAGCATTGAACGAGAAGCATGACCTGATGGGAATGAATACTTGTCAGGTCCAATTGAGAAAGGATCGTCATTAACTGCTGGTCTTCTTCTTCTTGTAGTTGATTTCAATATAGCAATAACAATAATATCTAATATTAGGGCTAAAAATAAAGTAATAATAATGATGTTAAAAATTATTTTCTTGAAATATTATATTTTGATATTTGTTCTTACCTACTAACAAGTTGACTTGCACTTGGTATAAATTTTTACTATTAAAAATCCAAATACATGCAAGTAACGATACTATCCAGATTATTCCATGGCATGATATCTGCAAAGATAACAAGATTAAGATTAGAAATTTATATGCATGTAAAATAATCTGACTTTATATATATTATTTTTTTATCTCATTTACGTTAAAATAAAAAAGGTACCTCTAACATTTTATAGTACAATTTTAACTTTGGCATCACATTTTCCACACTCCTCACAAAAATTTTTGTTACTCGAACATCAAGTTCTAATATGTTCCTTAACATTGTTGGAATTTCTCTTTTACGATTCTCTTTATGCTGAAATTGTTTTAAAGAAACGCACATTTTATTATTTAATATTAAGAAGACATATTATAAAAAAAAAAATACCTTATTGCTCATGATATATTACAAATGAAAAATTAATACAATACAAAGTAATCAAATAATTAATATTATTAGTATGTCTCGATATCCACTTAAGAAATTGTTTCATAAAACTATCATAATATCTGATGCAAAGTATTATAATCAATTGTCGGATTCCATTTTATAACAATAAGATACACAAAGATGGCGACACCAGCGTCAGAAAGTAATTCGAACAGTTTCAAACTCACAATTTCGTAACTTCGTTGTACTTTCTGACGTTGCTTCACTTGAAATTTCTTCAAATTTTATGTGACAAGAGATTATTAGTGTTGTAACAACGTACATTTTATCAAATCAAAAGCTTCGAACTAACTGAATACGGATAATTTTTAGTAAAAGATGCAGAAAGATCAGCCGGAAACACCAAAACTGAGACGAGTTAGAAGGTAAACAATGAAATATTATATTTTTTCCAGTAATGATTTGTACTTCGTACATTTTTAGACTAGAGAAAGCTACTACACCGGAATTATTAAGAAGAAACACAACAGTAGATAACACAACAAATGTTCGTACAGTTAGCTCTCAGCATAGGGCGACAATGGCTCCAAGTGACTTTTCTTTATCGCAAAGTAAAAATTCTTACCTCAGTTTTTTATTATAATGAAGTTTTATAAACTTAAGTATTGAATACTTACATGATTTAGATTATCTAAAGAAAAGAGCTGCTTTGGATCGTACCTCAATATTTCCTACACAATCATTGATGGATGGAACAAGAATGATGGACTCGGATTGTTCTGATATGGAATTAAAACTTCTTTATGATCAGTACTTACAAAATACTTTGACAGAAATAATCTTGAAAAAAAAGACAGAAGAAAAGGAAATGTTATTTTTATCTCAGTTAGCCACAATAAGTAAAGAATATGATCACAACGAGGAGAAATTATTTAAATTAAAAACTAGAGAAAGAGATGTAATAAATTTGTCCAAGATACAAAATGAAATTGATTCACAGATTAATGATGCAAACAATTGTACTAGTAAATATTCCTTAAAAATTGTTTTAAAGCATCATGCAACTAGATACATATTCTTGAAACTAATTAAGTTTGCTTTCCTTACAGGTGAAGAGAACAAAAATTTGCAAAAGACATTGTCTCAGTTATATAATCTTTTAGAACCTCTAGATAAACTTCGCTGTGATAATATAATTCTTCCTGAGACACCTGAGGAATGGGAAGAAACAAAAGAGGCTTTAAAATCATGTTCAGAGACTTTGAAACTCATCATGGATTTGATTGGAACAAAAAGTGAATCATATCAAAGTATTAATAAAGGCGTTAAGGAATTTATGCAGACTTTAAGTGACATTGAAGATAATCAGAAAGAGTATAAAATAACAAATTTTCTGCTATTCAATAATTATGTTATGTAATGTAATTGCTAATGTAATGTCATTATCTTTACAGGTTAGAAGAGAAACTTTGCAATCTGCAAGCTCTTGTATTGAAAACAGCATCCTTGTCCCTAATGCAAAGCCATAATTGATAATTGATAGGTATTAAGTCATATATAATCACATTTATTCATATATTACTATATATTGCTCATTTATGCACAAACGTTATTATACATTTGTAATATCTAGTATTTATAAGGAAAAGATCTTGCTAAGCATCATGGTTATTGTTTATAATAAAAACTAAATTAAAATTCTATTTGAAATACAGATATTATTTTTCTATTCAAAGAAGATGAAAGCATTCGTCAATTTTTTTACACAAACTCGTCGATTTCACTTTCCGAACAAATACTATTGCATATGATAATTCAAGCAAGTGTCGCCATGTTCTGAGAATTAATAAAAGCATTTAAATTAATATCACTGCCATTATGTCGCTACATATTAGCTATTGACTACTATTCATTACATCAGGCACAAAGAGGTAATAGAACAACACGGGAAAAACTATAACTTGTTTGGGCGTAATTAAGAGTACCTATCTTTACAGAATTTCACGATACACGATGTACCCTTAAACGAGGATAGCGCTGTCGACGGAATTCCTTTGAAATCAGCTTGCACTCTCTGATTGGCGAGCTAGAAAATGGGGTTGGAGGCGCGTGTACGCATGACCGCGACCTCTCGCCATATTTAATTTTTCCCAAATTTTGCAAGCCAATATCGTAAGGAAAATCGGAAAAACAAAGATCATTTACGCATGGATGATCAATTGGAAGAATGCGTACAGAGTGGCGAGACGTCCTTGACGAAGAATCCGAGGATATCGGAATGGAGGAAGCGCGGCGCAGGTCGCGTAACTCGCGTGCATCCAACCCCCGCGGATTTTTCCTCGCCCGCGCGCGATTTTATTCTGCGCATGGAAAGCAATTTTGCCCAATCATAAATAGGGCTATTGTGGGGGGATGGTGTATGCTGCTGGCGCATTTCATACATCCGAGTGTAATGGTAACCAGATAGAGGCGTCGCGCGGGGCTATCGGCCGGTTAGCATCGTAAATACTTACTACTTACTTCCGGTGAAAAATTTCGTCTCCCTTTACCTTATTCTTTTTCCCTCGTTCCATTTCATCCCTATCTTCATAGCATCATTATTTTTTTTTCCTAGTTTTCCATCTCTTTCTATCTGTCCCATGCCTGTTTTTTTTCTTTCTCTCTCTTTGTTTCTCTCTCTCTCTCTCTCTCT